ATCTACATCTATCATTTAAAAAAATAGCATCTAAATCCTCTAAACCACTTTCAAAGTCTCAACTCATACTCCAGCCTTTTTTGATTCCCTAGCCAACATAAACTATTCAAAGCCACAGAACTGTGGTAACTAGCTCCCACACACAGTACCTTACCTATGGAGCTGTTAGTGATGCATCCATAATACATGGAACAGATGGCCTGTGAGAATGTATCCCCACCCCCAGCCCCTTCCATCACACTGCACTTCAACTTCATTCATCTTTAAAATAAGTCACATTGTGGAATATTAAGATTGCCACACACTTTCTTACCTTTACCTTCAGCTTTTCTCTTCAGCATTGCTAATTTTTTCACAGTATTAGAGCTAATGACATGCTATTAGGAAATCATAAAAAAAAATAATGAATTATATTCTGGTTGCATCATTACTTTTAAGAAGACGTACCATGTCTGCACTGCCATAACAACCGCTTAACATAGTTAAAATAAACTAATGATTTTATTTGTACTGCAGAAAGAGTTACTGTAACATGAACTGCAAATCTTCCAGTGTTGGCAGAAAAGGACTAATTTTGTTTGATATTTGGGTTGTGTGTTTAGATTTACATAACTTTACAAGGTTTAGCTGTTCTTTAGATGCAAACCAAAAAGGAAAATAAATCCAGTAATTTTTGAATTAAGGGGAAAAAAAAAAAAAAAAAAAAAATCAAACCCAAGCGTGTAGGAAGACATGAATGTTTTACTCACACTTAAGCATAAACCACTTGGCTTGATTAGCAATCAGATTAATAATTAAAGCAAAATGTGGATTGATAAGTTTTCCAGCAAGAGTAGCAGAGCTATTTATACAGTAGTCTTTAAATAGGAGTAGAGAAATCCTAGTACAGACTGACATTATGCTGCAAATACCAGAAAGGCTCATGGTTTTTCTAAGAGTTTAAAGAAAGCTTTGTATACATTTTCAGCAGAGAAGATGAGAGTTATTTATACCTAAAGGGCAAAAGAAAATTTCAGAAGATGTTAAAAATAAAGTTCTAGGTACATACATAAAACTGTCTTTTCCAGCAACACTGGAAATACTGGCCCACAGACCAGGTATAGCAGAGCCAAGGACAACAAAGTTCTGTCCCTCAAAGTTAAGGACACTTCTACCTGAGTGTAGAGAGACCACAAGAAAGAGAGATAACGGGACAGTTTAGTCTTCATTTCCTGCAATTCTTGACCTCTCTGCTGAGAGCTGCCAAAATTGGAGTCAATTACAATGGTGAATTTTGTTAAGTGGCAGAAGATAACTGCAAGTAACTAAACTGAGAATCCCAAATCATCATCGACTATAAAAGATCAGACCTTCATTTTCAGGTTCAAGAGACAGTCACATTTTTATAAACATACCTGCTCATGCAGACATATCTGACTTAGCTTAAGCAGCTCAGGTACTGGTAGGAGTCTAACCACAGTTACTCAGGCTACACAAGCCCACCTAAACCTTCCAGTAAATGTCTAAAGGTAAAAGACTACAACTCACTGCAGTTACACTGCAATGAGTCCATGAACTAGCTAGTTTAAAAGTTAGCTTGAGTATAACAACATGAGCTGCAGTCATACCTCTGGACTGCAGCACAGACATACCCATAGGATAAATATGAAACCATGACAGGTGGCAGCTTGGAAATATCATTACTAAGCCTCAAGCCAATTTTAAAGTAGCGCTGTTGATTAAGGAGAGTATTGGCTATACTAACTTATTCTTCTACCTGCCTTTTTCAGGAAATTAAGTTAAATGGAACTGGAACGCACACATACAGGTGGGGATACTCATGCAGTGGAAACAGGAAACAGTGATTTCCTATTGGAAATAGTTCTCATTGGTTTATCTTCAGACATATTAACCTCCTCCACTTGCCAATACTGCTGTGCGCCAGTTGGGGAGCACCATAGCTACCTGCTGAGTCACCAGGCTGGGACTACCTTTTTGTAGAGGCCATGCTCTACAAAAAGCTGTTATCACACCTGAACTAACCAATCCAGGCCATTTCACTGAAATAACACTTCCAACTCTACTCTTCGCCCTTCCCAGCATCCCTTAACCCACAAGGGAAGCAAAAACTTTAAAACGTATCTAAAAACAAAACTGGCTAACCCCCCAAACTGTTGCATACGAATCAAGTTTTAACTGGGAGCATTAACAAGCCAATCGTTTCTCTAATGCTGCTTTGCACAGGCAATCTAAACCCAGCAGAAATCCTAAATCTGCCCTCTTGGGAGCTCATCCCATGTACTGCAGGGTGCTTTAAGAAATAGTATGAATATGAAATTAGAGACTGTCAAAATGCACGCAACAAGGGACTGGAAAGACAGTACATCTATTATTTTCCCACTTGCAAGCATCGAATTCTGATATCTAAGCTAAAAAGGCTCTTTTTAAACAAAGGAGTAGGGGGAAGTTTGGATGCAATTTTTTTTTTGGAGAAGGTAAAAAAGCATTTATGTGATGTATAATTGTGACCCCCTTTTCCATCACCTTCAGCACAAAGTTTCATTACTGGACCTACAGGATTACACTGGCTGACACCAACGTAGGAGTGGGACTAGAACGCCTATCCCACAGGGGCCTCAGCTTGGCCACGTGCTGCTGGGGCTATGATCCATGTTGAGCATACAAGACCCTTTCCCCCCTTTCCTTCCCAATAGCTGAATTCCCAGCACAACATGTACATCTGCTACTGATGCTACTTTGGGGACGATGGGAGCCCAGTTTTAGAATTTCTGCCAAAACAGATTAACGTGAACACTTTCTTTGTCAAAATGTTGATTAAAAAAAAAAATCCCCTCCAAACCTGACCAAAATGTTTTGGAATAAAAAAAAAAAAAAGGTACAGTGCCCTGGATTATTTTAAAAGGTCTGTCACAAACAAGAGGTCTTAGAATTTCTCAAAAAAAGATTCCCAAAACAAAAAGTGTTAAGGTGTTAAAGTTACCAAAAGTGGGAGCTGCTATTCACCCATTGCAGGCACACACACTAGGGGATATTTCCCCTCTCAACATTATATTTCAGCCCAGCATGCTGGAGCTTTTTTCAAGCAGAAGATAACTTTCTGGTCCTCACACTTAAACAGAGCTGTATAAATTTGAGAGATACAGACTTCACAAACATTTCGATCCAGAAGTGGAGGTATTTCAGTTATGGGATATTTACAGACCTTCATTTCCAATACAATATAATGAAATCGAGGCGCCAATCCTACCTCACTAGCGTTTACAGAGTGCTTCTGATGCAAAGGCCTATGGAAGCACCGAATCCTTTGTAAAGGAACCCCGTGGTCCCCATTGCTCAACTGTATCAAGTGTTTCTGAAAAGTGGTATTTAAAAGAGCAGATTCACAACTGCTTTATAAAACCATGGTCACACGAGACCTACCCAGAGCAGAATCAACTTTCTGAATATTACAAATGCACCTTTTCTGAATGAGTATATATTATTCTCTTTAAACCAACTGGCTACAAGTAAGAGATAGTTATTACTAATGAGTGACTATTTGCATACCAAACATCTCTTGGATGGTCTGCGGCAAAGGACACCTACAAGCTCAGAAGCGACTTTGCCTTTTAAAAAGCACATCACTTTTGCAGCCATGACAGGAAGAGATCTAACAGCTAGTTGATTCAACTTCTGCTACTATGGACTGTTTACCCTTGACCCTCAAGGCCATTATTTTGTCAACCTCTGGTTAGCTTTCTTCACCCCAATAAAGACTAGACGCTGCTTGTTTTAAAACATCGAGTTTGTACATACGAGAGAAAACCAGAGACACCCCCCGCAATTCAAAATTATAATAAATCTCATTCACAAGTCAATGCCAATTAAAGGTCAATTCTTTTGCCCAGCTCCCTACATTTTTATATACGCCTGTTGGAAAGGATTTTTGCTCGCTCAATAAAAAGCCAAAAGTTATTTTTAACATTACTACCATATAATGCAATAGTTGGCTTCGAAAATGTGTTTGACACTGTTACCGTGGCAACGTGCAAATACTTTGGCCTGCAGCAAAGAAAAAAAACCCCAAAAAACCCCCAGAAAACCCAACACATTCATTCCAGGTAACGTTTTGAGCTATTAATTTTGTCCCTCTGAAAAAGAGCAGATTATCACGTTATTTCCAAGATGCTGGTCAATGACTAGGATAACACACAGTCACAAACAAGGGTATTATTGAAGATTTCCGATCTTATTTCACCCTACTGATGTCCTTACAACCCACACCCCTGTATCATTGAAGCCACAAGCTGAAAACAGCAGCTCCCAGGAAAAATAAACGCGAGCAACGAGGGAGAGAGAGAGAGAGACACCATGACATGCCAAGGAGACGGAGGCTGGGAAGAAGGCGTGCGGGCCGCGCTCCCCTAAGTTACAGGGCTCCTGCTGCCGTTGCCTGAAGCAAAAAGGGCTGGGAGGCAGATTGTGTAAAAACCTCCGGACGGCGCGTCGCACCCACACCCGCTCCATCCATCCATCCATCGGTCCGTCCGTCCGTCCGCCCATCCATCCACCTATCCGTCAGTCCGTCGCCTGCGTTTAGAAACAACGAAGCCCTTCCTCCGCTTCGTTTGGAAGGCACTCGTCTTAAACAGAGGTGTAGATGTGTATATCGTTTTAAAGTTAAATTAAAAAAAAAAAAACGGGAGGAGGAGGAGGGTGGTGGGTGAGGAGGGGGGGAATTGCTGCTCATTAAGACCAGGTTTTCCCCCCCCCCCCGCACCCCCAGGGAAACTCATTGCACATGCTCCCCGACGTTTCAGCTCCGACAGGGGAAACCGACCCCCCCAGACCCCGGGGCAGCGGGCTGTCGGAGCCGCCAGGCCCGGCGGCGAGACGTCCCCGAGGGGAGGGAGAGGGTCGGGCCCTCCCAGCTCCGGCCATTTGCACAGGCGGCGGCCCTGAAGGACGTGTCCGCGCGGGGCCCGGAAAATGGCGGCGGGCGGATGGGGGCCGCCGCTTACCTTTGAAACGGAGCTCGTGCTGCGGGTCGAGGCTCAGGACCTGCTCCGCTTTCGCCATGTTGCTGGTGGCGGCGGCA